CCAGTTCCATCCATGCTGCTGCAGATGACAGAATGTCATTCTTTTTTATGACTGGGTAGTATTCTATTGTTTAAAAATGCCACATTTTCTTTCTCTTTTCATCCACTGAAAGGCAACTGGCTGGCTCCATGTTTGGGCTATTGTGATTAGCACTAGAATAAACCTCGGGATACAAGTGTCTCTCTCTTTTTTTTTTTTAATCGGTACGGGGGATCAAACTCACACCGCCTGCTTGCAAGGCAAGTGCTTATGCCGCTGAGCTAAATCCCCAGCCTCACAATTGTCTCTTTTATACAAAGATTTAATCTCCTTTGGGTGTCTGTGCAGCTCATAGGATATTGCTGGCTCATGGGACATTTTTAGGTCTTTGAGGAATCTGCATACTGTCTTCTGTAATAACCATGCTAATTTACATTCCCACCAACAGTGTGTGAGAACTCCCGTCTCCGCCTCCTAACCAGCACTTGTTACCTTTTGACGATAGTCATTCTAACTGGAATCCTCCGTCCCGTTTAGCGTAGGAAGAACTACATTTTGCAGTCTACCTGAGCACTGTGAGTGAAAAGAAATCAAGCTGTGAAAATCCCTGACGCCTAAATAATGCTTCCAACATACACAGCTCTGCCAAACTCTGCGTCACTGGCTTTGGAAACGTAAAACGCAGTTCAAATGGTTATAATTCAATGTTTTCACATACCAGCACAATACTTCTTTTACTTTTTCTTGTAATTTTCAAAATTGAGACGTAACATTAAATCTTTATGGGGTACATTACCGTAACTCAGTACATGAATACGATGCTTATAATCAGATCAAGGTAGTAAGCATTTCCACCTCTTCAACCTAATCGCTGCTGTGCTTGGGGAGTTTCATACTCTTCTAGTCATTGTGAGATATGTCATAGATGGTTTTAACCAACGGTTACCCTACTGTGCTGAGAAAGAGCCAAAAGTAATTCCTCTGTTCTGTGTTGTATTTGTGTTTGGTGCCGGGGATCCAACTCATGACCTCACACTTGTCAGGCAGGTGCTTATACCGTTGAGCCAAATTTCCAGCCCTCTACTCTGTTTTGGTGCCCTCGAGTGAACTTCTGTCCTTTCCCCTCGCCTTGCCCTTCCCAGTGTATAGTGACCATTTCATTCTTCTACAAGACTGACTTAACTGACTTCCACAGGTGAGAACTTATGGTATGGTACAATATTTCAAAGGTTGTCTGCAGCCAGCTAAGTGCCCTGTAAGTTGTCAGATATGGTGGCGCATGCCTGTAATCTCAGCACTTGGGAGGCTGAGGCAGGATTGCTATGAGTCTGGAGCCAGCTTGGGCTACATAGTGAGTTCAAGGTCATCCTGAACTGCATAGTGAGACCCTGCTTCATGAAAACAAAAACAAAACACCCTGTTAGGTAACAGGAGCGTGTAAAACTAATTCCTGTCTATGATGCAAGAATATTTCCCCCTAGCCCTGTGCCATATTCTGGTCAGGTTGCAAGGACAAAATAAAAGTTATGTAAGTGTGGCTTACCTAGCCATGATATATTTTTAATATCTTAAATGGTTTTTTAAAAATATTACAAGCTAACCGAGCATGGTGGTGCACATCTATAATCCCAACACTTGGGAGGCTGAAGCAGAAGGATCATTTTGAGTTCGAGACCAGCCTGGGTTACAAAATGAGCTCAGGGCCAGCCTGAGCTGTATAACAATCCTGTCTCAAAAATACAAGAAAAAAAATTACAAGCTTATAGCAAATCAATATAAAAGTTCATACAAGAAAAACATTACCCTTGTACCTTGTAAATAAGAAAACCAGACGTAACAACTTTATATCCATCCTTATTCTTATGTTCTTAAAAATACATGCACACTAAAAAAAAAAGATACATGCACACTCATATCATATAGATACTTTTCTTTTTCCTTCTCTCATTCTTTCCAAATAAGATTATACTGAAACTTCCTGTTTTGGCTTAATAGACATTGCTCTGGGTAAACACACAACTTCTAACAATTCCCTAATAGCTGCATAAACTGCATACTTCTCCATTTTAAGAATGTATCAACACTTATTCATCCACTGCTGCTTGACAGTCAGTGGTTTGCCTTTGGAGACAATGCCATCAGCACCTCTGCATGCAGATCCCTTGGGTACGGGAGCTTCTGATCTGGGAGAGCTCTGGGGGCAGGCTTGCTACGGCAGAGGGCACAGACTACAGCTGAACCCAGTGCTCTGTAAATTACTAAGTACTATTAAGGGGGGTGTGTGTGTGTGTGTGTGCAGGGAGAAAGCACAGTAAGCTCAGGCACACACATTCCTATTTCCTAGTCATGGAACAAGTGTCCATGTGCTTGTTTACTGGTGATTCCTGTCATGAAACTGCAGTCTCTACCCATTTTTATCTAGGATTTGACATGTTTCTACCAATTAGGTGCTGAGTATTAGGGAAGTGTTCCTGTGTACTAGAGTAAATGAAAAGTTCATTTGGCTCTACTCACTGTCTTTGGGTTTATAATTTTCTTTATGAAATTAAAAATGTTCATTATTGCTCATTATTGCTTTGGGATGTACTGGCTTGCTTGTGGTCTCTCTGCTTGAAGTTACACAGATACCTAAATTTTTATCTATTTTGCTATTTTATTTTTAAAGTCTAACCCTCTGCCTACCCAGATTGGGAAGGGAGGATGCTGGAGATTGAATTAGGATCTTCGCAGTGAGCTGCATCCCCAGCCCTTTTTTCAGATAGGTTCTTACATTCTAAATTCCCGATAAGGCTCAGACTTGTGATCCTCCTGCTTCACTCAGCTTTCCAGAGTCCTGGGTCAGGGGTGGACCGCCACACCCAGCTGATCTGCCTGTGAGTTAATTTTGAGTGTAAAGGAAGGAGGACTCAGGACTTGGAATATTAGAGTTTGCCGTAGCTTTCCCCCGGTCCTGGAGGTTCTCCCTGGACACTCTCCCACTGAGCTCCATCTCCCGTCCTTTCACTTCCCATTTGAGTTACTGAATTGCCCAGGCTGGCCTTGAACTCGCAGTCCTCTTGCCTCCGCCTGCCAGAGCGCTTTTACAGGTTTGTTCATTCCGGACCTTCTTCCTCTGGTGTCTTTGGTCTTTGAGACCCGCGTTCACTCTATAAATCTGGCTGATAAGGGCTCCATTCTTCAAACGAGGAGGTGTTCAAAGGAGGCTTTCTTAGCATCCAGCAGCGTTTGTGAGCTGCCACAGTGTTCAGCACTCCACCCACGGTGGATTGTACTTCTCTCATACTGCCCATACAGCTGTCTATGCTGGGCAGACAGCTTCCCGGGTACTCAGCTGTAGCTGACACAGTCTGAGGCCAAGGCTCTTCATAAAGCCGCAGAACAGCCTTGGCATTTGTTATGCAAGACTTGGGTCTAAGGAACCAGCAAGAGTGAACAACTAGAAACGCCCGACAGCTGCTGAACGCCAGAATGTTTTCAAGTGAGACGGTATAATCACATTAAATTGTTTTAAGCATATCTGTTAGATGAACACATGAGGTGTCTCCTATCTGAGGGCGGAGGGCAGTGGACCTACTAGGGCCTTCTTCAGCTTGGGCCTCGGAAAATGGAAAGAAAGCTGCCAACGCCCTGTAGTTAAAGAATAACACACGGATGTCTCTCGCCACCCCGCATGTATTTTTAGTGGAGAAATCACTTACTTTAGGGCTACGCAGTGAATATACAAGATGAGCCTTGGGCATCTTGTAATAAACCAGAAAGCAAGTATTCAAAAACAGAGTGACTGGGCTGTGTATGCGTAAGGAACAAAGAAGCCAAATGAAAAAAAGCTCCCCGTGGCCAAAGTAGTTTGAACAACAAAATAAATAATGTATTGGACAACAGCCCAGATAAGGATCCATGAGCTCTGACTGTAATGAGTGACTGGATACATAGGAGAAGAGAGACAAACCTTAACATACGGAGTAATTCAAACTAATTTATATCAATGCTGCATCTTTAAAGACACAGCATAACTTCCGTTATAACTCCTCACCCTTTAAGAACAGAATATACAGGCTGGGGATTTAGTTCAGTGGCTTACACACCTGCCTGGCAAGCGTGAGGCTGCAAGTTTGATCCCCGGTACAAAAAAAAAAAAAAGAACAGAACACACTTGATTTACCTCGGAGGAATGCAGTATGAAATGAGAGAATGGCTGGGATATATAGCGTAGTGGCCGAGTGCTTATCTAGCATACCAAGGCTCTGAGTTCAATCCCCAGTATCAGAAAAAATGAGTGAATGAATGAATGAGTGAGAGAAAGAAAGAAAGAAAAAGAAAGGAGCAAAGTGACTCCACAGTGTAGAAACCTGGCAAAGGCTACCTCAGCCAGGTGGCTGCTTACCATCATCAGTGACAAGCCAGGCTGGAGTACACACAGTGATACGGCGAGAACCACCCTTCACTTGTGTGGTTTTCCTTGCAAAAACCATAACACTGTGACCACTGAGAAAAGCAGATGAATCCCATTTGAAGCCCATTCTACAAAATTGAAAAACAGATGAATCCCATTTGAAGCCCATTCTACAAAATTCTTGACCAGTTTCCTCACAACTATCAAAGTCAGGGCTGGGGATTTAGCTCAGCGGCATAAGCACCTGCCTTGTAAGCAGGCAGTCGTGAGTTTGATCCCCGGGACCGATAAAAAGGAAAAAGCCAACAAAAAAAAAAAACAACTATCAAAGTCATCAAAAATAATGTCTAAGTGTTTTAGCACAAGAAAACATAACAATTAAATGTAAAGTGTTATCTTTGATACAATCCTGGAACAGAAAAAGGACATTAAGCAAAAAACTAATCTGAATAAAGTATGTTCGATTAATAATGTATCAATATCTTATTAATTATAATGAATGCACTACTAAGACCGTAGGTCTGTGGGAACTTTCTGCACTTAGATATTTTCTGTACATCTCTATTAAATGTATTCCAATATTTCAAATACAGTTTGGGCAACATTGACCGCATGTTTTCTGGTACAGGGTGCTGGTGACAGTTTTGTGGGCGCTCTGGCCTTCTACCTGGCTTACCATCCACATCTGTCCTTGGAGGAAATGCTCCAGAGATCCAACCGCATCGCAGCAGTCAGTGTCCAGACTGCAGGGACGCAGACATCGTATCCATTCAAAGAAGACCTCCCACCTACTCTGTTTTAAATGCTGTTAACCCCAAATAAAGACACCTGAAAATAAAGTGCACCCATGGGTGACCAATCAGCAAACACTTATTAGAACTGTTTTTCTTTGCAAATGTTATATCTATTTACTAAGTCATCTTCCAGCTTACATCTTTGCGACTGGCCCTCAGTTGTGGAATACCAGGAAGAACAGCTGGTTAGAACAATTATGTCACTTTGGCCAAAGTGGTACAATCAGCAGTAACAACAGAATCAGTCACAGCCTAGTAACTTGGCACCTTTAACCGTGTGAACTGTATTTGTGGCTCTATAATAAAATCTAAAACCAGAAAATTATATGCAGTAAATAAGTCCTCAATATGTCAATTTTACCTTTAGGAGACAATTTAAAAGGAGTTAGGGAAAAAAACAGAAGTAGGAGAGGAAAAGACTAGAAGAGAAATCTGGAAGACAGAGGAATCACACAAAAGGAAGATTAGAACAGAAAAACCACCACAAAGAAGCTAGTAACGACATTCACACTCATAAAAACAAGATCAAACAATGAAGAAATACAAAACGAGAGAGAGACAGAGACAGACAGAGAGACAGAGAGAGTCCACTTCCAGGTTGTTCTCCGCTTTCACCAGTAGACAACGTGTGGAGACCGAGTCCCGATCGTGCCCATTTATCCCAGCAAGCCAGCAGTAGCTTTGTGGCGGGGGCAGCAGATAATCCTGGTGAGCCTGCACCTTTATTTCCCTGAAGCTCAGGCTGCGTTCTGGCCATGGGGCTGAGACCACTGCCATTCAGCCTGCAGCAGCCAGTGCACCTCCAGGTGGTCCCAACTCAGCCGGAGCCAGCAGCTGTTCCAAGTTCTGGGCTCAGCCAGCCCCTCTCCAACATGACTCCTGGCCAATCAGTTTCTCCGGAAAGACGACCAAGTCCCAGCACTCACCCCCAGCTAGCGCAGGCCTTCCCATTCCTGCTCCCGTACACTGCTGCACCTCTCTGTGGAGGCCTCCGGTGTGGCCAGCAGTCACCATGCGTCTGCAGCTTTGAACTGCTCCTCCCATGCAGCGAGTCCCAACTTGAGGACAAGACTCCAACAGCTGCCTCCTCCTCCTTCGTTGAAGTTTCTCTCTTGGCTTTCCCCATGGGCTTCCATTTCTTACTTCAGATCCTCCACTTCCCTTCTTCTCGGCTTCCTCTTGGCTTCCACGTCTGGACAGCAGCTCTCAGGGAAGCACTTTCCCTGCTGCGACCACTCTGCCATCTTCGAGCTTACATCTATAATGCTTTTCATGCATTCATAAAAGCCAACTAGAATTAGATTCCACAATCCAGATCTGTGCAAACATAAGCATGCTTCAGGGCTAGAAAATTTGGTTGCCAACAGATTGTTAATGTGTACACTACACATCAGGGGTGGCGAGCACCAGCACCAAGAGCCAGAGCACAGAATGTTCAAGAAAGCAAAGGGGCCTAGGAACCGATCTCCCAAACACCTTCAGGAGAAGCTTCTGATAGCTGAACCTGTGATATAGAAAGCCAGAAGTTTGGGTATTTCTTGAAATATTTTACTGTATGTATCAGCAGCCAAATGATGTAAACACCCACCTTTCACTCAAGGACTGAATAGAAGACCGTTAGGCCAGATATTAAGGCTTTTATTTTTTAAAACAATTTCAGAATGGCATAGACTCTTTACACTGATATACTAGGATCACGTAAGATTTTTAACATGACCACTATGCAGTTTCAACCTAAAAATAGACAAGATTTCATGTGTACTGCTTTGAACCACAGCTCTAACAAAAGATGCCATAAAATAGCTGACTCCAATGCTGCAGCACTTGAGACTCAACTGTTCACATCTAATTCCATCTCCAGAGCTGCTCTCATATTTCTTCAAGAGCCAGACTGGCCCTGGAGAGGGACACCTGTTATTTTGGGACAGCACTGGTTCCTTAATGCTTGTGGCCAGGTGGGCACTCAGCGTTCTCCCACACACGGACTTTCACTGAGATAACTGGCAAAACTTGAGGGGAAAAAAGCCACGTGCAGTACCATAGTTCTCATCTGAAAATCAGGATTAGCAGTGGGGTTTCCCAGCTCACCTAGCTGTGGAGTGCCACCATGCTCCGGAAGCCTACACGGCAGTGGCTTTATGGAAATACATGGTAACTCTGCTTAGTGTTTGTTTTTGCTTTGGGGACAATGTCTCACTGTGTAGTCTGGGCTGGCCTCCGCCTCCCAAATGCTGGGGTTACAGGTGTATGCCACCATGCCCAGACTCCTCCAGAGGAGGAGTCTAATGCTGTCTTTAAAAGATCCTAGCTACTACTGTGGTGACCTTGGTTTAAAAACATGAACCAACAGCATTTTTCCTCACTATACAAGCACAAACCAAAGCCGTAAGTCCTCTTGGTTTCCTGTCATCCTTTATTCCACTGTTACTACGTGGGAGTTGCTGTGCAGTCACCGGAGTGCTATTGTGCCTTTTCTGTGAAGTACTAGGAGGAGAACCCGGAGCTCTTACACAGGTCTCACTACGGAAAAATGTCTTCTGGTACATGAAACAATAGCTACTTCTTAGTAATGTGGCTGATTTTCTAAATTTCAAATAGTGAAGGAAGACATCACTAGAGATAATAGCACAGGCTATTTATTAAAGGTTGTAAAAATATCCAGAAAGATAAATAAATGTAACACAATGACACTCCTCCTCCTCATGGAAGGCCTTTCTTTCACCACATTGTTCTCTTTCACCACATTGTTCTCTTTCACCACATTGTTCTCTTTCACAATGGCCTTCAAACCACAGGAGGCAGTCCATGCCGGGCCTTTCCTCTTCTTTTATTAGAGGCCATGGGGTTTCTGATTCAGAATCCCGCCCTCAATCTTTTCATTTATAAGTCAAATTCATTTTCAATCCATTGTTAAAGAGAGCGTATTTTTTTCTGTTCCATGAAGAGGACTTTTTTTTTCACTGTGGGGGCAGAAAAATTCAAAAGCATCATTATCATTTTTATTAAAAATACATATCACCAAAAAAAAAATACATGTCACACCCTAATGCCTCTGCTTTTTCTTATTTTACTATCCCTCTGAACTGAGAATGGAGCTAATTTGCAAACTCAGCTCCTCAATCTCAGAGCCCAGAGAAGACAGGAGAAACAGCAGGAAAACACAAAGGGCCAGTCCCGACACCCCTGGTACTACCTGAGGCCATGTTTCAATCCATTTGAAATAGTCACATAAAAACTGCAAAAAATGGAAAACACTCAATGTCTCCACCCAGCTGATAGAGATCTACTCTGTAGCAGGTAAGCAAAAATAAGGCTAAAAGTTAAGACTTCAAAACAGCAGCAAAAACTGAGCAGACCACAGAAGGAAATAACAGCCTGATGGGAAGAGCAGCTACCAGGGAAACTTCTTCCCAGGGCCACTCGGTGCACTCAAGTTGGAAGCTTTAGTTTGGTAAGCAAGTATTACAACCAAACCTCAACACGGTAAGTGCTACAGAGTAGTTCCCTGAAACAAAACCCAGAGAGAAGGCTGTCTGCCTGGAGGGAAGACTGGTAGCCACATGCTATGAAACAGGGCTTCCACAGTTCCCAGGAGCCCTACGGCCTGCCACTAACCGGCCACTCCCCCAACTACCGGCCAGCCTAATTCCACCTAATGCCATAAACAAACAAACCAAAACTTGTACCCTAGGAAAATCTGAAACTCAAAGGACTGTGACCTAACAGCTCATTCGTGCCTGCCATACAAACAGATACTCTCCCTGTGACATGGAATTAGGGCTAGGGAACAGCACTTGCCTACTGCATACAAGCCCTGGACTTGATCCCAGTCCCACAAAAAGAAAAAAGAGAGGGAGGAGGAGAGAGGAAAAAGGAAAGAAGAGGAGAGAGGGAAGGAGACAGGGAGACAGGGAGAAAGAGAAATTAGTTAGGAAGCATGTTTAAAATACATTCCTGCCTGGGGATTTAGCTCCATGGTGCAGCACGTGCCTGGCAAGTGCAAGGTCCTGAGTTTGATGCCTGGTACAAAAAAAAAATCCTACTTTTCACCTCTGCCCCATCACAATTTTGGTTCATCAAAGGTAGGGTAAGACTAGAAAACTGTATTTTTAAAAACTTCAGCCAGGGGCTGAGGATTTAGCTCAGCGGCATAAGCGCCTGCCTTGCAAGCATACAGTCGTGAGTTCGATCCCTGGTACCGATAAAAACGAAAAAGACAAAAAAAAAAAAAAAAAAAAAAAAAACTTCAGCGAGGTATGGTGGGGTACACACTTTTACTCCCAGCACTTGGGAGGCTGAGGCAGGAGGATTCCTGCAAGTTCAAGGCCAGCCTGAACTACACAGTGAGTTTAAGGCCATTATGAACCATATAGTGAGACCTTGTCTTACAAAACAAAACAAAGTCTCGGATAATCTGATAAACAAGTGGATTTAAAAACCATTAACCAATCAACAGAATTTTACCTATTAAAATTAATAAAAATATACATACATACATTGTACATAAGGGAAATGTTCACATACTTCAGATCATCTAAGTATAATGACCCTCCTAAGTCTCCAAGGAAAAGTACAAAGCATTGTAAAACTTTAGCTAAAAACCATGATCTTTCCCATGAAACAATGTTGTTAGTTACAAGAAGTATTTTCCCCATGTTTTGCTATATGGAACTTTACAACTGGTTTAAAATAAGAGAGAGAGAGGCTGGGGGTTTAGCTCAGTGGCTTAAGTGCCTGCCTTGCAAGCACTAGGTCGGGAGTTCAATCCCTGGTACAAAAAAAAAAAAAGACAAGAGTGTTAAAAGTAACTCAATAGCAAGTACTTGCCTAGTAAGAGCAAGGCCAAAGGTTCAACCCCCAGCACCACAAAATGGGAGTAAAGTGCAGAGGGAATACAGCCTAGGCATGGTGGCACAGTCCTGTAATGCCAGTACTCCGGGAGGCCAAGGCAGGAAGACCAACCAGTTTGAGCCCAGCCAGAGAAAATTAGCAAGACCATGTCTCAAAATAACTGTTTAAAAAAACAAAAAAAAAAAAAAAGAAGGAAAGACTAAAAAGCAAACTTGTATCCTGAAAAGGTATCTGAAAATTTTTTTGAGACAGTCTCATTATGTAGTCCAGGCTGGCCTGGGAATCTTTTTGTAGCCCAGGAAGCCTTGAACTCACCATCTTCCTGCCTCAGCTTCCCAGAAGGCTACAATTACAGGTATGTGCCACCACATCAAGCTCCAGCTTTAAAAGACTATTTAACCCGGAGTAACTAATTAAATTAGTAGCACAAGGCTTTATTCTGGAAAATTCTTACATTGGGGGCTGGGGATTTAGCTCAGTGGCATAAGCACCTGCCTTGCAAGCACATGGTCGTGAGTTCAATTCCCAGTACCGATAAAAAAAAAAGACAATTCTTACATTCCTGTATTCATTCCTTTAATTCAAAAAATGAACATTTTATTCTACGGAACCATACTCGGCAGTGTGGAGATCACACACTGTAAAAGACCCTGACTTAATGCATCAGTGCAGCACGAAGCGTCCATTGGAATGTCCCACAAACTCCCTAAGAACCTAGAAACCAAAGGAGACAGCGATAGTGACGGAGCTCTCAGGACAGGTAAAGCCTGGCCCCTGCAAGAGCAGCATCTGAACTAACACACGAAGGGTGGCAGGGGGCAGAAAGGACAGTCAGGCTCCAGGCTTTGAATGGCAGGCTGACCACAGGGGGAGGTCCTGATTTAAGTCGCAGTGGGCTGCAGCAGCAGAAAGGGCGGGACCTGGAGTCCGAAGGATGGAGTCCAAACTTTGGCTCCATTATGCATCGACTCTGAGTTCCTGGCCAAACTTCTCCAAGTTCTCCACCCTCAGTTTTCTTCCTGAGAGAACCCCATCTCCCTTTCAGAGCGCTGCCAGACCCAGTGAGCACTCAGTATGTGTTAGTTGAGTTGGATGACACACTGCTATCCATAACATAAACATAAGGTAATTTTCTGTCAAAATATTTACTGCTTAATTCACAGAAAAACAAATCCGTCAACTTCTTTCCCTAGAGCTAACCTAAATCTATTCTGTTTCAATTAAAGTCTGTATTGTCTTGTTTAGTCATGCAAGAAATTAAATCTGACAAGTTTTCATTCTCTTTATGATAAACAAAGTTTAATAAGCTTATGCCTTAACCCCTAATCCTTCCTCCTTGGAAATCAGCATCTAGTTTTATATAAGAAGAGGGAGTCTTGGGCTGGGGATTTAGTTCAGCGGCCTAAGTGTCTGCCTGGCAAGTGCCAGGTCCTGAATTCAACCCCAAGTACCAAAAAAAAGAAAAGGGAGTCTGAACAGTTCTTGCCACAGGGTGGACTATAAAATGCTCCAATACCTGGGGATGTTTCCTTACCTGATCTCCTTCACGCCACCGCCTGACAAAGCATTATCCTCAAACTAACTTTACTCACGGCAGTAAACTATGCTGGGCAAATCGCCAGGCTATTTGGCACCTTGAGCAATGGGGGAGGCCTCACGGCAAACATCTTCATCACAAAAGTCTACAGGGAAGGGTTGGGGATTTAGCTTAGCAGCATAAGCGCCTGCTTTGCAGGCAGGCAGTCGTGAGTTTGATCACTGTTACTGATGATTTAAAAAAAAAAAAAACAGACAAAAGTCTACAGGGCAACTGCATGTGGTGGCAACAGCTTGTAATGCCAGCACTCAGGAGGCTGAGGCAGGACTGCTGCGAGCATGAGACCAGCCTGGGCTACACAGTGAGCTCAAGGCCAGCCTGAACTGCATCACAAGACCCTGTCTCAAAAAAGAAACCAAAAGTCTACAGGGCATTCTGCAGGTAAGCAGAAACCCAGGTAGTCTGCTAACCAAAATGCTTTTTTTAAGAAAATACAAAAGTTATGCTGTCCAGACATGAGAATTCCTTATTAGCAAAGTACTACTAATTGCCCTTAGTTCACTAAAAACAAAGGTTTGTACTGGTATTGTTTGGACAATTTTTCATGCCTATATTTTATGTTTGTGAGTAGCCACTTTGAAAACAACAATACACAATGTATTAACCATTGTTACTCTCCTAGTATCTATTTCCTTTTTTTTTTATTGGTACCTGGGATGGAACTCACAATCACGCACTTGCAAGGCAGGCACTTATGCCGCTGAGCTAAATCCCCAGCTCTCTAGTATCTATTTTCTATGAATTTTTTTTTTTTTTTTTTTTTTTTGGTACCAAGGATTGCACTCACTGCCTCCTGCTTGCCAGGCAGATGCTTACACCACTAAGCTAACCTCCAGGCCCTCCCTATTATCTTGTTTTGAAATTTTATTTTCTTCTCTTTAAAATAAAAATTTAAAAAATAAAACATTTATATATGAATCTTATTCTCCCAATTCTTGAATTTATGATTACAACTATTTTAGTCATATGCGCTCCCAATCTCAAAACTTAAAAGTCAGTTTGACCAGTAAGTTCCCAATACCAGCCCCACAGTAAGAACAAAAATTCCAATACTTTTTATACATATGGGCTAAGGGCTGGGGATTTAGCTCAGCAGCATAAGCGCCTGCCTTGCAAGCAGGCAGTCGTGAGTTCGATCCCTGGTACTGATAAAAACGAAAAAGACAAAATATATATATATTATGAGCTCTTCATCAGCAGTATTATGCAAATTCCTAAAAATAAACTGTAAGGGAGCTAAAATAACAAGAAAGCAACTACTTTACTGTATAATTCATCACTGCACTTTTACCAGATATAAAGAAATCAGAGGGAGAATAACAGCATATCAATCCAATAAGAAAGTTTATCATTCGAATAATTTTTTCAACATATGAAGAATCATCCTGAAATTAAGACTTCTAATCCTCAAGTATAAACTTAGAATTTGCTTTCATTATCATAATGAATGATCAGAAACATGACCACCATAACAACAGCAAAGGATTTTACTTCTATTGAAGAACTTCTCAAGCAATTTTTGGCAGAAAATTGGGCTTCCCAAAGCATAATATAAATGCCCCCACACATTAAGTCATTCTTTATCTTATTCAGAAGTAATTACAAACAGCACAAAAATGAAACAGCATCCAGAATACTAAAATAAAAGTTTGTTCACTGGATTGTTTTGCATAAATCTGCACAGCAACCCAGAAACACATCCAGAATGGGCTTCTACCCACAGCCATTGAGTGTTGACTGTTTGGCTCTTTTAGACTAGTCTTTCTCTCTAAGACCATTTAAAATTACCACTGATTATGGCATTTTGGTGGAGACACAAAGTGGAAAATCAAATTTCCCGCTCCCCTGCACCAATATGTAGGCCTCATAGTTCCTTCTCTTTTCGTTGTTGTTATTTTTCTTATTGTTGTTACTGTTTTGAGATAGGGTCTCACTGTGCAGTTCATGCTGGCCTTAAAAATCACTATGTATACACTTGGGAGGCTGAGGCAGGAGGATGGCTGTAAGTTTGAGACCAGCCTGGACTAGAAAGAGGGCTCAAGGCCAGCGTGAACTGCATAGTGAGACTCAGAAAGATTTTAAAAAAAAAAAAAAAATCACTACAAAGGCCAGCCTGGTTTCAAACACAAAGCAATCCTCCAGCCTCAGTCTCTCAAATGCTGGGCTTATGGGCATAGACATTATATTTCTTTAACTCAGATCTGAGGCCCGTCACTTGACCATACACAAAGTCCATACACTCCTCTTAAAATTTCTTTGTAAACAAGGCATGGTGACATATGCCTATAATCCTAGCACTGGAGGCTGAGGAAGAAAGATCGTAAATTCAGGGTTAGTTTGGGCTACAAAGTGAAACCGTGTCTCAGAAAAGCAAGGGAGGAAGCCCACGTACCTTCTCTGCTCCCCAGTGCTACTGGCTTTCTCTGTACATGGCCTGTAAACTACACCTCATGAAGTGTTCCACGCTCCACCCCCTCTTCAGTAAGGCTCCCGCCTCCCTGCAGCTTCCTCCCACTTCTCAGCAGCCTGATCATGTCACTCAGCACTGACCAGAGTGGCATTCTCTCCCTCTCCCACCAGACCGTAAGTATCAAGAGCACCAGGACTGAATTGTCTTGTGGCCTGGTGTGGCTAGCACCATAATAAACATTAAATACGTATTTGCTGAATGATTGTCACAGTGTCAAAGGGGCCACAAAAACTACCAGCAAAATTCAGTCTGGAAAGGAGGCAACAGACCTTGAAAGCACTAAAACATTTTGTGAATCTTACCAATTGGATCATAATGCAGAAGAGTCAGTTTCTCCCGAAGTCGGCCTCTCCTGGCGTTGAAAGTAATACCTGTCCCGGCTTGGCTCACCATTTTCACCAGAAGAGTTCTAAGATTAAAAGTAAGCTGTTACAAGCACAGGAAATATACTAATCCGAGTCATAAGAGGATGGCACATTTGAGAATTCGTGGAATCATATTAGTTGTGGATATTAATTGTCCCTAAGGTTTTATTCTAAGACTGCCTGTTTCCCATTAAACATAGATTGAGGCTGGGTACAGTGGTTTAAGCCTGTAACCCCTGCCACTCAGGAGGCTGAGACAGAAGGATCTCAAGTTTAAGCCCAATCTGGGAAACTAAGCAAGAATTTGCCTCCAAATAAATTTTTTTTTAAAATGGTGACTGAACATGTAGCTAGATGCTTGCCTAGCATATGCAACACCCTGAGTTCACTCCCCAATGCCACAAAAGAAATTTCAATGGTTTTGAATTCCAAATTTTGGCCTATTACAGAGTGACTTGGTAATGACCTAAACGAAAGAGTAAAAACAATAAGCTACAGTAAAGATCTATCCTCAGACATCTAACTTTCAAGAACAGATGTCAGAAGAGGGAAAGTACAAAGGACTGGTAACCACAACTGACGAGCCAGGCAATTGTAAAAACGGCTGCTCAGAAGAGTCCTGTTCCACAGCACGAGTGGGAAAGGCACAATCAGAAGAGGATGAAGTTAAGAGACTAAATTTGAGGGCTGGGGATTTAGCTCAGCAGCATAAGTGCCTGCCTGGCAAGCAGGAGGTTGTGAGTTCGATTCCAGGTACCAAAAAAAGAGACTGCAATTTCTACATGAATAATGTGCAAACCCTGTATTCCTTCTATAGAATATAAAGTACAGTCAGCCAAAATCATAACGTCCATGTTTGCCTCGCTGGACTTTTAGTAGCTGTATTGTTGGTTACTTTCTCATGTGTCTTGTCTCCCCATGTATGAGTCGAAAACAAATCTGAAACATTTAAGACATTACATATCCTTGCACCCCTTTCAACATGTGGTACAGTGCTTCCACAGAGGCGTACAATATTTGATTAAGACATGATACTCATTCATCATGATTCAACAAATCTCTATCAAGTGCTTATTCTATGGAAACTATTATGGGAAGCATAAAGTTCTCAGCGCCTGCATCTGTATCTTTTAGGAGCTAAAGTTATGGAAAGGAAGCTGGTAAACAAGATATGCGCAACACATCTCACAAAAAGGTACAAGCAACGTGAAGCAGGAAACCAGTCATAGAGTTCTACAGAATCTGGGGGTGGGACTTTTGACACAACTGGATTATGAGAAAACCCAAGCAAATCAATAAACATACTGGGCCAGAAAATGTTTTTCATTAATTTTTGTTTGGCTGGGTTTTGGTTTTTTATTTTTAAACACTGGATCTCACTGTTAGTTTAGATTGGCCTTGAACTCATTATGTAGCTTAGACTGGCCTCAAATTCACAACAATCTTCCTGCCTCAAATTCCAAGTGCTGGGATTACAGATATATGCCCCAACACCCGGCTAAATTCAATTTAAAAGTTACAGTATTTTTGATGTCTTTAAAAAATGTCTTTAATTACTAAAAATGTCTTTAATTACTAAAGAAAAAATCTTTTTCTTTTTGTGAGATAGACTCTCACCATACAGATGAGACTGGTCTAAATCACTCTTCTCCTCCCTCAGCCACCCAAATGCTGGCCTACAGATATGCAGCACTGTGCCCACAACATTTTCTTCTGTAACAAAAAAACCTTCAGTTATTGTCTACCAAGTATTCTGAAAAGGCTCTCTGGTACATCAAATCTTTCATCTGCCATTTTTGAAGTGCTTATATTATAAATGCAAAAACTTACAAACTCATTTTTTAATAAGGCTCTATGGTGTAATAAAATCATAGCTTTCTTTGGATACATTCCTAAAGTCACTCTTTGACAAATGACACCTGGCCCTCAGTTTGAGGAAAGCATAAGGTGGTAGTAGTCCAAAGAGCATAGGTCCACACTTGACTTACGAACAAGACAGTAAATTCACAAATCTGGGGCTAGAAAAAAACACAAGGGCTCGTGTAGTTACGCAGAGTTTTCAAATGCTCACTGAAGCATTTGGATCTATGATTTTTCAGTTTAACCAGGGTGTGAAAGTATTCAGCAGAGACTGGACTTCAAATTTTGATGTCTTTCCAGGTTAGCAGTAAGAGGTAAGACGCCTGGCGGCAACTGCACTAACTCTGTCGGCCACAAGATCACAACAAAAAGCAACCAATACCCTACACCAACAATGGCGAACCTTTCAAAGTTTTCAGTGATTACCAACAGCCTGCTGTGGCAACCATAGTTCATCCCCACTGACCTATACTACAGGTCCCATAGAGCACTGAGTTGCTAAGCTACGGTGTTAATTTTATTATAATTTTTAATTTATGCTCTTTCTAACTTATGACAGGCTTATCCCTGGTCACCTCATCATAAGTTGAGAAGCATCTGTATTTTTGAAAGATCATAAGGACAAAGTAATCAAATCTGTAACTCTCACACCAACGTTTATGAAATCAAGGCCAAATACTTAAATATACAAGGACATGCTGGCAGCAGCTGGACTAACAAATCTAACATAAGCGAAAATCAAATGAAAAACTTTTACTTACTTTGACTTGCTCTTGGCAACTTTTTGTGTAATGAAAAGATTGTGCAAGAGAAAATAAAAAATATAAATTTTAGTAGCATTCTTAAGCAAAGTTCATATAGTCGTCAGTAACCAAAATCACTTAACCCATGAAGTTCGTGGGAAACTGTAGTATATACCATACTGTATTACCAAGGCAGGGAGTAGCTTAGTGCTAAAACGCTTCCCTAGCATGAAGGAGGTCCCGGGTTCAATCCTTGGAATGGGGCGGGGCTGCAGGGGTTAGAGAAATATTCGCTAATACAACTACTCTCTAGTCTAACATCTTTTTTTTTTTTTTTTTGTCTTTTTAAGACTGGGTCTCGCTATGTAGTAGTCTAACATTTTTTAAAAAGCCAAGATAAAAAGATGAAACCAGACCAATATAATTCTTAACGTTGCGCTCCTTAACGTAATGCTTTACACTATCACTTCAGTTGGACTACTTTTAAATCCTTAGACTGTAGTATCTGCTCCTTCTCCTCCTTGAAGTTGCAAATATCTGCTCTGGAACAAGCTCCCGGTTTAAGAAGCCAATCTTTGCAAACTGCAGCAACTAGCACACAAGGTGCATGAAGTCAGCCCGACGCGCTAGGGACTTCACTGCTCCGGCTGAGTCACCTCGGGCAATCCACCGTCCCCGCCCCCCCAGAGTTCTAAGTGGGTGGCACAGAAATTCCGTGGTCTTCCCATGTGGGATGTGCAGTGATTCTTCTGACATACCCCTATGGAGCGCAAAAAAAAGAAAAAGCGCCCACACCAGACCTCAAGGTGCGGCGAACCGTAAATCAACACCGGCTGGTCCGGCAGAGCCGAGGAACACACTGGCCCGCGCCGTAAAGCGCTCCGCGGGTGGACTCCCCGCGGGTGGAAACCTGGCCGGTGTGAATACCCGCCTCGCACCATTCCCAGCTCTGTCAAGGGCCCCGCCCTCTCGGCAGCCCCGCCGCCGTCTCCAACCCCACTTACGGGCGACCGCGGAAAGGAACATGGCTACCGCACCCCTGGACTCTCCCTGACTGGCCTACAGGGCCCGTAAACAACTACTTCCGGGGCAGGGACGGTTCCGCAAGAGGACTTCCGGGCGTTGCCCAGGGCCACGCCCCCTCGGTTTTTAAACTTTTTGTGCTTTGCGCGGGATGTGTTTGCCTTTTGTAATAGTGATCGTTGGAATCCCATTCTCTCTGGAAGGAGACCTCGTGATCACTCTGGCTCACACCCGAGGTCTGAGTCCCGCTCCTGAGCGAGAATCAGGTGCTGTCCTTATCTATCAAATAATCACAACCTTAGGCCAAAGGAACTGTATGTTCTACTTCATTTGCTTCAGATTACCAGCTCCTACAAACATTTCCGCAAATGTTGCCTCCTGTTAGCCTCTAATCCAGCTGCATTTCCGCCTAGTAAAGGCCTACTCAGCCCCTTGGAAATTAGGAACCCTGCTGTAATTATCTGTTGCATCTCCTTAAACTACTGCATTCAGAAACACCTTTGGGAGCAGTGCATGAAAATGGGGCTGGATGACTGACTGGGACCACGCAGGTTACTGGCCTAAATTGGCACAAAACAGAGTCAGGATTTAAACCTGGTCTTGCCTGACTCCAAAGACGAATGCCTTTCTCAGTAGACACTGGAACATACCTCTATACTGATTCCTCCTGTCTCTGCAAAAAACCTGGGCTGCTCCAACATCAAAGATCTCATCTGTATCCTAACTTCCCAACAAGTAATCAGGACTTTGGGGTTGTTTTAGCTCATCTGGTATTTTGATCTATATGTTTTTGCAGACATAGAATAAAATCCAGGGTTTTTTTGTGTGTGTCTTTTTGTTTTTTGTTTTTTTGTTTTTTGTTTTTTTGTTGTTGTTGTTGTTGTTTTTTTTTTTTTTTTTTTTTTTTTTTTTTGAGACAGGGACTCACTATGCAGTTCAGGCTGGCCCTGAACTCACTGTGTAACGCAGGCTGGCTGTAGTCCTGTTTCAGCCTCCCAAGTGCTGGACTTTCAGGTATGTCAGGCAAAATTCTATCTCATAGATTACCTTCACTGAAAGCAATAAAATTATGTAGAAAATTCAGGGGCAGGGAAGTAGCTCAGTGGTAAGAGTGCTTGCCTAGGATGCAAGAGGTTCTTGGTTTGAGCCCTTGTGCTGCATAAAAGAATTTAAAAAACATAACTCTCCAGTACAATTCAATTTTTTAACTCAAGACTGTCTTTGCCCTTAGAACCTAAAGGTTCTTTTTTCCCCCTAAGAATTCTTCATATTCATCTTCCCATACAACAATTGAGTTCCTTATGGCATCTAAATCCTTCCTTATCTATCACACTTATCTTGTGTAGGTCCTCATCTAGGGGAAGAAAAAGTTTCGTGTTTTTAGAGAATACAGATTCTTATCTGGTAAATTCCTTTAGAGGATTTATAAGAAAACAATAGAAGGCCAAAAGCCAAAGAGCATGAATTATACCCTGTATGCTTTAGAAAGTCACTTGTAACATTTTAGGGCTCAATTTCATTCTCAATATGGGCACTGAGTCAATGGTTCTTAACCCTGACTCTCCATGAGAGTCTTTCCAAAGATCCAGGTGACACCCAGAGTTTGTAAAATGTCTCAACCCTTAATTTTGTATTTAAAAAAAGGTCAAGCACATGAAAAATTTGGAAAATGGTACAATAGATACACCATATACCCTGACCAAAAAAAAAAAAAAAAAAAGCTGGACATGACAGCGCATGCCTGTAATCCCAGCATTTGGGAGACTATGACAAAAGAAGAGCTGTGAGTTCGAGACCCGCCTGGGCTACAAAGTGAGTTCGAGGTCAGCCTGAACTGCATAGTGAATCCCTGTCTCAAAAAGACTAAATAAATAAATAAAAATGAATCATAAAAAAATTTTTAAAAGTTAATAAATCATATATTCAACTCAGCAAAATGTTATTCTGTTGTACATGTCTATCTCGATATGTGTGTATTTAATTCAGTGGGGTTCTTTCACAGAACTGTGTGACAGTAAAGGCACCACCCATTGCCCTGAAGTACGGAGTAAGGTCATTATAACTACAATGCTATTATTATTCCTGAAAAAAACCAGGAGCAGTTTCCTTGCCGTTAGTCCCAGCACTTGGGAGGCTGAAATAGCAGGATTGCAAGGTCAGGCAGCGTGAGCTACATAAACCCTGTCTCCAAACCAAACAATAAAGGGGAGTTTCCTAATTGTCCACGTTCACATTATTTTGTACAGCTACCTTCTTGATGAAGGTTCATATATCATTCTCAATTATCATGACTCTTTAATCTCTTTCAAATCTAACACAAAAGCCTTCATTTATTTTTCTATCAGGAGCCAGAATGTTCTGTTGTCCCATTTCTCGTGCTAAGTTGCATAAGCTCTAGACCTCTCCGTTGTAAAGGTACGTTTTTTTTTTTCTTTGCAGTTTTCTCAGGAAACTTTGGTGTATGGGAATACCCTGTCCACAGCAAAATTTCACTTCACGGTTTTAACACCCATTGCTGTCCATTCTCAGCTCAGTAATTACCTTTGGGGTTGTCAATGATGACTTTCTAATTTTTACCAGAGCTTTTTTACTAGCTGGCTTTCTTCTGTAAAGAAAAGCTTTCCAAGCCGGATGAGGTGGTGCACCCCTGGAATGCCAGCGCTCAGGAGATTGAGCAGGAGGATCCTGAGGGTTTAAGGAGAGGCCAGGCTGGATGGTGAGTTCAAGGGCAGTTTGACCCTGTCTCAAAAAAAAAATTCCTCCTAACAAGACAATAAAATAGTTGTTTCTCTTTATCGATAATCATTGTTTTCATTCTTTTGTGTGTGCTGGGGGGGAGTACAGGGAATTGAACTCATAACCTCGCACTGGCCAGGCAGGCGCTCACACTGAATTACTGTTTTATAAATTTTTCCAAATTTGCCCATGATGAGCCCCTTCCATCTGGCCCAGTGTTCTTGAGACACGGTCTCTTCTTGCTTCCTGTCACAAGCTATTTCAGCCCAAACCGTCAATCAGCTATTTCCCTAGTACTCTGGTTCCTTGTCGGGGAGGGGAGTCAAAACCACAGTCTCATATCCAGCCACGAGTGTAGATTAGTGGGTTGGAAGCCTCTGTGCGTCTGGGGATGGAGCCAGGTGGGGACTGGGTCTCAGACCCGGGGGCCTCTCCTGCTGCTGAGCTATAGTCCCAGCCCTTTTTTAAAATCCTGAGTCACCTGGTGGGACTCACACTGATAAGCTCTGACTTCAGCCTCCCTAAATGCTGGGATTACGGGCACATGCTACCTACTGCACCCAGTTTAAGCCTTATTTTAAATCATGGAATCTTCATTTAAGTGAGAGCTGCTCCGATGTTTGTAATATAAAATAAAGCTGCACCTCGTAAAGGATGATGTCCTCGGAACCCTGGAACCTGTGGTTCCCAGGCTGTCTTCCATCCCCACTGCTCTGGATTCTAGTTCAAAGATTGGAGCCTAACCCCCGGGCCTTCCGTGGTGCCTCCTTCCACGCTGCCGGACCGTGCAGAGAGGGTATCTGACCAGCAGGGGAAGATCACGATCCACAAAGAGGAAGTGGGAAACTGAGTAAAATGAAGCTGACCGATGGCAGGTAAAACAGAGGCACAAGATGGGGTTTGTCAGGGGGACCCTCAAGAGGGTTTCCATGGAGAGGAGCAGGCAATACCTTCAGGGCAGACTCCCGGAAAGAGAGGGCATCGTGACCTTGGTCCTGAATTGCTGCAATATGAAATTGAGCGCATGTCACTTCTGCGCCCTCCATTCCCAGCGTACGTGACAAGATCATTTTTCTTGTTTTTTTTTTTTTTTTTTTTTGTCTTTTTGAGACAGGGTCTCTATGCAGTTCAGGCTGGCCTTGAATTCACTTTGTAGCCCAGGCTAGTCTGGAACTCATAACGATCCTCCTGCCTCAGCTTCCTGAGTGCTGGGATTACAGGTGTGAGCCACCACGCCCGGCTGGTAAGATCATTTTTCTAGTGGCTCAAATCAAAAACCAGCTTGCCACCTCTTTCTCACCCCGTCAATAAGTCCTGCACTCAAATGTCACCTCACAGCGAGGACACCCCTCCCTTCCTTATATCTTTGAACCCCAGCTCTTTATTCTCCCTGTGTGTTGTATTTTCCTTAAATGGCGCTTACTAGCATTCCATTGTATTTATGTGCTTGTTGGCTTCTTTGTTGTCTTTGTCTATCAGACTATAATTTAAGATGAGGACGTTTGTCTTATTCCCTCATGGCTGGGTCCCCAGTGCCTGGAACAGGGCCTGCCACCTCTATTAAATATCTGGCAAATGAATGAATTTAAAATGAAAAGCACCATGCAAAATATTTACAATGTTTAAATTTATGTGGGCATGCTGGGCATAGTGGCTCACACTTGTAATCCCAGCACTGGGAGACTGAGGCAGGAGGATCGTTGCAAGTTCGAGACCAGCCTGGGCTACAAAGTGAGCCCAAGGCCTGCCGGAACTGCATAGAGAGACCCTGTCTCAAAAAGAAAATAAATAAATGAATTTATGTGGGAAAAGATATGCATTTGTGTACTGTCAAGTTTCAGGGTTTTTAAAAATGTTTACACTTGCTTTTTTTTGAGACAAGGTCATGCTGTGTAATTCAGTCTGGCCTTGAACTCATGAGCATTCTCCTTCTTTGGCCTCTCAAATGCTGGGGATACAGGTGTACACCACCACACCTGACTTTAAGCTTCCTTTGAAAAAGAGATTGCATGTGAGACAGTGTTTTCTAGTCTCATCAGCTGTGCTGCATCCACCTGTATTTACACTTAACACATTGTTGGCAGCCAGTGTTAATTAAAATGTTTATTAATGCAAATGTAATTCATGTTTGGGTTTTTTTAATTTGGATTTACATAATGAACCTTCTATGTCTTCCAATGTAAGAACCGGCGTCGCAGGGAAGAAGACCCCAAGGACTCGCTCGTAATGAGGAGTAAAAAGTTTATTTCCATGCGCATGGGGTCCCCCAGGCAAACAAGTGCGGAGGGCCCTGAGGGGGAATTGTGCAGGGTTTTTAAGGGCGCAAACGGGAGGCAAGCGAGTTT